TTACTGTCATTGTGAGGGGAAAAGACGTTTTCATTGTTAGGCACAAGATTAATAATGAATGTGTAGGCTAGCCTACATATTGAGAATTAATATAGTACAATTTGTAGCCTTAAGTAAATTAAAAAAGCTCAGCTTTAGGAGGGGAAGGCAAGATCAGGAGACTGAGAGAAAAAGAAAGAGTGATGGATAAGAAGTGAGAGCAGGTATTGACAAATAATCTGCCCACTGACATGGTTTTAAGGCTATTTCTTATCCTTTTTTTGGCCTTCAAACGTCTTGAAATGCACATATCAGAGAAATAAAATATTTGAACCCCCTACCAACCTCAAATTAAGGACCTCTGTGATTATAAAGCCCTGTCTACGGCCCTGTATTAGGCATAAGATCAATAATGAATGTGTACTGTGAATTGAATTTAATAAACTTAGTTAGGCTACCTAGCTTTCCTAGTAGCTTTCTGTAAATAAATTCGTCTGAGAAAATGATTCATAAATCAACCTATCAGTTGACCCTATGTTTACTTTCTTCACTGACAGACAAAAATGAAAAGCCTATCAGTCAAAGCTCAACTTTAGGAGTTTTTTTGGCCTTCAAAACATCGTATAATGCACATATAAGATACACATATACTTTAACTTAGTCCTCAGATAGAGGAGGGTTGCTGCTAGCTCCGTTAAGGTATATATCACCCGTCAGAAAACAATTGCAACGTCTCAGATTGTGCCCCCCCCCCCCCAGAATTTTGGCTTGCATGACGCCCCTGGATGGCTCTGTCCATTTCTTATACTGTATATGGTTCCCATTCATAAAAAACTCCTGTGCTGTCGTCGTGACAGCGATTCACAAAACAACGTCACTCACGGCTTTTAGCTCAAAAGTGTGCAGATTTGGAGAAATATTTATATATTCTCAGTTTACATCAGATTTCTATTAACAGGAATAATATTTTATTGAATTGAATAGAATGGTATACTATATGAAGCCATACTATAGTAGCCTATGATGTGAGATAGAAATTTAAGTCATTAAATTCAAGTTCACGAAAACTTTTCCCTCCGCTGCGACTGTCAGTCATTCTCCATTCAGCATCAAACAGCGCGTCGCGTTCGGTTACAGATAACCCTCTCCAAGATGATTCAATGTTAATATTATTATACTTGATCTGTAGATAAAGCTCTATGGTTTCGCATAAAATGACTATCTTGCTGGACTGTATTGCTGTAACTTAATCATGTTACTTTGTGTCTGTTAGATCACAACACTGGAGCACTATAATTGTTCTTCACGCGCACAGTAACTGAAATTTAAAACTCTTAAAAGAAAAGGCTCAATAAACTATTGCATAGATAGATACTGTATAATACACTACGCATCGATATCGATATGTCTTTTTGCTTTGAACTTTTCACTGCGGACTCGACGCGCGCTGTGATATGGCAAGCCGTTTTAACTTTTATTCATTTTCAGGATATGAATCCTTGATATCAACAATTCAATTTTCACTAGTTAAAATTATAATTATTGATATCAACAATTACATTTTTGATATCAACAATTGAATTCTTGATATCAACAATGTAATTCTTGATATCAGGAATATAATTCTTGATATCAACAATTGAATTCTTGATATCAACAATTGAATTCTTGATAACAACAATTGTATTTTCACTAGTGAAATGTCACCATAGGCTGCCATTCAAAATCAATTGTTGATATCAAGAATTATATTCCTGATATCAAGAATTACATTGTTACTAGTAAAAATGCGAATTCCTGATATCAACAATTGAATTGCTACTAGTAAAAATGTTTATTCTTGATATCTGAAAATGTATTATTGATATCAATATTATTTCAGATATCTAAAATGGCTTTCTTACTAGTAACAATCACATTCATGATATCATAAATTAACATTGTCACTAGTGAAAATTGAATTATTGATATCAAAAATGAACATTGTTACTAGTAGCAATTCAATTGTTGATATCAAGAATAGACATTTCAACTAGTGACAATTTAATTCTTGATATCAAAAATAAAGGTTTTTACTAGTAAGAATTGTATTTCTGATATGTGAATTGGAATTTCAACTAGTAAGAAATAAATTCTTGATATCAAGAATTGATTTTGAATGGCAGCCTATGGTGACATTTCACTAGTGAAAATACAATTACAGATATCAAGAATTATAGTTTTTACTTGTTGCAATTCAATTGTTGATATCAAGAATTATCATTTTAACTAGTGAAAATGTAAATGTTGATGTCAAGAATTAACATTGTTACTAGTGAAAATGTAATTCCTGATATCAAAAATTGCCATTGTTACTAGTAGAAATATTATTCCTGATATCAATAATTATAATTTTAACTAGTGAAAATTGAATTGTTGATATCAAGTATTCATATCCTGGAAATGAATAAAAGTTAAAACGGCTTGCCATAGCTGTGTTGTTTCAAGCGCATCATTCTGCGCTCGGGATGCGCATAAGCGCTTTGTGTCGCACTGTGTTGGATCCTTTCATAATCATATAATACTTTTGCGCAATGAAAGATTATTAATAGCCTTTTTTGTTCTGTCCTATCTATCATATGTTGCTGCCTCATTAAACAGCTGTGATATACATTTAAAAAAAATGTCTTAATTTTATAGTAGCCTAGACTATATATAAAATAATTAATCTTTCTGATTTTTATCTTGTTTTTCATTCATGTATTTTACAACAATACAAAGAGCAATGTGTAACGCTTTACCAGATTTAGTGCTACACTTATTGTCTCTTATTTGTTCCCCAGTAAATAATGTTTTTTTTTCACTAAATGTTCAGATTTGATAAAATTATTGTACACTTGTGATTTTTCTAGACTAAATTTTACTGCTGAGTTATCCACTAATCTAGTTTATAATAGAATTTTTGTCATGATTGGTTATGGGTTCACTGATGTCTCTTAGGGTTCACTGATGTTCACTGGTGTCTCTTAGGGTTCACTGATGTTCACTGATGTCTCTTAGGTTCACTGATGTTCACTGATGTCTCTTAGGTTCACTGATGTTCACTGGTGTCTCTTAGGTTCACTGATGTTCACTGGTGTCTCTTAGGTTCACTGATGTTCACTGGTGTCTCTTAGGTTCACTGATGTTCACTGGTGTCTCTTAGGTTCACTGATGTTCACTGGTGTCTCTTAGGTTCACTGATGTTCACTGGTGTCTCTTAGGTTCACTGATGTTCACTGATGTCTCTTAGGTTCACTGATGTTCACTGATGTCTCTTAGGTTCACTGATGTTCACTGGTGTCTCTTAGGGTTCACTGATGTTCACTGATGTCTCTTAGGGTTCACTGATGTCTCTTAGGGTTCACTGATGTTCACTGATGTCTCTTAGGGTTCACTGATGTTCACTGGTGTCTCTTAGGGTTCACTGATGTTCACTGATGTCTCTTAGGGTTCACTGATGTTCACTGATGTCTCTTAGGGTTCACTGATGTCTCTTAGGGTTCACTGATGTCTCTTAGGGTTCACTGATGTCTCTTAGGGTTCACTGATGTTCACTGATGTCTCTTAGGTTCACTGATGTTCACTGATGTCTCTTAGGTTCACTGATGTTCACTGGTGTCTCTTAGGTTCACTGATGTTCACTGATGTCTCTTAGGGTTCACTGATGTTCACTGATGTCTCTTAGGGTTCACTGATGTTCACTGGTGTCTCTTAGGTTCACTGATGTTCACTGATGTCTCTTAGGTTCACTGATGTTCACTGGTGTCTCTTAGGTTCACTGATGTTCACTGGTGTCTCTTAGGTTCACTGATGTTCACTGATGTCTCTTAGGTTCACTGATGTTCACTGGTGTCTCTTAGGTTCACTGATGTTCACTGATGTCTCTTAGGGTTCACTGATGTTCACTGGTGTCTCTTAGGTTCACTGATGTTCACTGATGTCTCTTAGGTTCACTGATGTTCACTGGTGTCTCTTAGGTTCACTGATGTTCACTGATGTCTCTTAGGGTTCGTTCACTGATGTCTCTTAGGGTTCACTGATGTCTCTTAGGGTTCACTGATGTTCACTGATGTCTCTTAGGTTCACTGATGTTCACTGGTGTCTCTTAGGTTCACTGATGTTCACTGATGTCTCTTAGGTTCACTGATGTTCACTGGTGTCTCTTAGGGTTCACTGGTGTCTCTTAGGGTTCACTGATGTTCACTGATGTCTCTTAGGTTCACTGATGTTCACTGGTGTCTCTTAGGTTCACTGATGTTCACTGGTGTCTCTTAGGTTCACTGATGTTCACTGGTGTCTCTTAGGGTTCGTTCACTGATGTCTCTTAGGGTTCACTGATGTCTCTTAGGGTTCACTGATGTCTCTTAGGGTTCACTGATGTTCACTGGTGTCTCTTAGGGTTCGTTCACTGATGTCTCTTAGGGTTCACTGATGTTCACTGATGTCTCTTAGGTTCACTGATGTTCACTGGTGTCTCTTAGGGTTCACTGATGTTCACTGATGTCTCTTAGGGTTCACTGATGTTCACTGATGTCTCTTAGGGTTCACTGATGTCTCTTAGGGTTCGTTCACTGATGTCTCTTAGGGTTCACTGATGTTCACTGGTGTCTCTTAGGGTTCGTTCACTGATGTCTCTTAGGGTTCACTGATGTTCACTGATGTCTCTTAGGGTTCACTGATGTTCACTGGTGTCTCTTAGGGTTCACTGATGTCTCTTAGGGTTCACTGATGTTCACTGATGTCTCTTAGGGTTCGTTCACTGATGTCTCTTAGGGTTCACTGATGTTCACTGATGTCTCTTAGGGTTCACTGATGTTCACTGATGTCTCTTAGGGTTCGTTCACTGATGTCTCTTAGGGTTCACTGATGTTCACTGGTGTCTCTTAGGGTTCGTTCACTGATGTCTCTTAGGTTCACTGATGTTCACTGGTGTCTCTTAGGGTTCACTGATGTTCACTGATGTCTCTTAGGGTTCACTGATGTTCACTGATGTCTCTTAGGGTTCACTGATGTTCACTGATGTTCACTGATGTCTCTTAGGGTTCACTGATGTTCACTGATGTCTCTTAGGGTTCACTGATGTTCACTGATGTCTCTTAGGGTTCACTGATGTTCACTGGTGTCTCTTAGGGTTCACTGATGTTCACTGATGTCTCTTAGGTTCACTGATGTTCACTGGTGTCTCTTAGGTTCACTGATGTTCACTGGTGTCTCTTAGGTTCACTGATGTTCACTGGTGTCTCTTAGGTTCACTGATGTTCACTGGTGTCTCTTAGGTTCACTGATGTTCACTGGTGTCTCTTAGGGTTCACTGATGTTCACTGATGTCTCTTAGGTTCACTGATGTTCACTGATGTCTCTTAGGGTTCACTGATGTTCACTGGTGTCTCTTAGGGTTCACTGATGTTCACTGGTGTCTCTTAGGTTCACTGATGTTCACTGGTGTCTCTTAGGGTTCACTGATGTTCACTGGTGTCTCTTAGGTTCACTGATGTTCACTGGTGTCTCTTAGGGTTCACTGATGTTCACTGATGTCTCTTAGGTTCACTGATGTTCACTGATGTCTCTTAGGGTTCACTGATGTTCACTGATGTCTCTTAGGGTTCGTTCACTGATGTTCACTGGTGTCTCTTAGGGTTCGTTCACTGATGTCTCTTAGGGTTCACTGATGTTCACTGATGTCTCTTAGGTTCACTGATGTTCACTGATGTCTCTTAGGGTTCACTGATGTTCACTGATGTCTCTTAGGGTTCGTTCACTGATGTTCACTGGTGTCTCTTAGGGTTCGTTCACTGATGTCTCTTAGGGTTCACTGATGTTCACTGATGTCTCTTAGGTTCACTGATGTTCACTGATGTCTCTTAGGGTTCACTGATGTTCACTGATGTCTCTTAGGGTTCACTGATGTTCACTGATGTCTCTTAGGGTTCACTGATGTTCACTGGTGTCTCTTAGGTTCACTGATGTTCACTGGTGTCTCTTAGGGTTCACTGATGTTCACTGATGTCTCTTAGGGTTCACTGATGTTCACTGATGTCTCTTAGGGTTCGTTCACTGATGTTCACTGATGTCTCTTAGGGTTCACTGATGTTCACTGATGTCTCTTAGGGTTCACTGATGTTCACTGATGTCTCTTAGGGTTCACTGATGTTCACTGGTGTCTCTTAGGTTCACTGATGTTCACTGATGTCTCTTAGGGTTCACTGATGTTCACTGATGTCTCTTAGGGTTCGTTCACTGATGTTCACTGGTGTCTCTTAGGGTTCGTTCACTGATGTCTCTTAGGGTTCACTGATGTTCACTGATGTCTCTTAGGTTCACTGATGTTCACTGATGTCTCTTAGGGTTCACTGATGTTCACTGATGTCTCTTAGGGTTCACTGATGTTCACTGATGTCTCTTAGGGTTCACTGATGTTCACTGGTGTCTCTTAGGTTCACTGATGTTCACTGGTGTCTCTTAGGGTTCACTGATGTCTCTTAGGGTTCACTGATGTTCACTGATGTCTCTTAGGGTTCGTTCACTGATGTTCACTGATGTCTCTTAGGGTTCACTGATGTTCACTGATGTCTCTTAGGGTTCACTGATGTTCACTGGTGTCTCTTAGGTTCACTGATGTTCACTGGTGTCTCTTAGGGTTCACTGATGTTCACTGATGTCTCTTAGGGTTCGTTCACTGATGTTCACTGGTGTCTCTTAGGGTTCGTTCACTGATGTCTCTTAGGGTTCACTGATGTTCACTGATGTCTCTTAGGTTCACTGATGTTCACTGATGTCTCTTAGGGTTCACTGATGTTCACTGATGTCTCTTAGGTTCACTGATGTTCACTGATGTCTCTTAGGGTTCACTGATGTTCACTGATGTCTCTTAGGGTTCACTGATGTTCACTGATGTCTCTTAGGGTTCACTGATGTTCACTGATGTCTATTAGGGTTCACTGATGTCTCTTAGGGTTCACTGATGTCTCTTAGGGTTCACTGATGTCTCTTAGGTTCACTGATGTCTCTTAGGGTTCACTGATGTCTCTTAGGGTTCACTGATGTCTCTTAGCGTTCACTGATGTCTCTTAGGTTCACTGATGTCTCTTAGGGTTCACTGATGTTTCTTAGGGTTCACTGGTGTCTCTTAGGGTTCACTGATGTTTCTTAGGGTTCACTGGTGTCTCTTAGGGTTCACTGATGTCTCTTAGGGTTCACTGGTGTCTCTTAGGGTTCACTGATGTCTCTTAGGGTTCACTGTTGTCTCTTAGGGTTCACTGATGTCTCTTAGGGTTCACTGATGTCTCTTAGGGTTCACTGATGTCTCTTAGGGTTCACTGATGTTCACTGATGTCTCTTAGGGTTCACTGATGTTCACTGATGTCTCTTAGGGTTCACTGATGTTCACTGATGTCTATTAGGGTTCACTGATGTCTCTTAGGGTTCACTGATGTCTCTTAGGGTTCACTGATGTCTCTTAGGGTTCACTGTTGTCTCTTAGGGTTCACTGATGTCTCTTAGGGTTCACTGGTGTCTCTTAGGGTTCACTGATGTCTCTTAGGGTTCACTGGTGTCTCTTAGGGTTCACTGATGTTTCTTAGGGTTCACTGGTGTCTCTTAGGGTTCACTGATGTCTCTTAGGGTTCACTGGTGTCTCTTAGGGTTCACTGATGTCTCTTAGGGTTCACTGTTGTCTCTTAGGGTTCACTGATGTCTCTTAGGGTTCACTGTTGTCTCTTAGGGTTCACTGATGTCTCTTAGGGTTCACTGGTGTCTCTTAGGGTTCACTGATGTCTCTTAGGGTTCACTGGTGTCTCTTAGGGTTCACTGATGTCTCTTAGGGTTCACTGATGTCTCTTAGGGTTCACTGATGTCTCTTAGGGTTCACTGGTGTCTCTTAGGGTTCACTGATGTCTCTTAGGGTTCACTGTTGTCTCTTAGGATTCACTGATGTCTCTTAGGGTTCACTGTCTCTTAGGGTTCACTGATGTCTCTTAGGGTTCACTGATGTCTCTTAGGGTTCACTGATGTCTCTTAGGGTTCACTGATGTCTCTTAGGGTTCACTGATGTCTCTTAGGGTTCACTGATGTCTCTTAGGGTTCACTGGTGTCTCTTAGGGTTCACTGATGTCTCTTAGGGTTCACTGATGTCTCTTAGGGTTCACTGATGTCTCTTAGGGTTCACTGGTGTCTCTTAGGTTCACTGATGTCTCTTAGGGTTCACTGATGTCTCTTAGGATTCACTGATGTCTCTTAGGGTTCACTGGTGTCTCTTAGGTTCACTGGTGTCTCTTAGGGTTCACTGTTGTCTCTTAGGATTCACTGATGTCTCTTAGGGTTCACTGATGTCTCTTAGGGTTCACTGATGTCTCTTAGGGTTCACTGATGTCTCTTAGGGTTCACTGGTGTCTCTTAGGTTCACTGGTGTCTCTTAGGGTTCACTGTTGTCTCTTAGGATTCACTGATGTCTCTTAGGGTTCACTGTCTCTTAGGGTTCACTGATGTCTCTTAGGGTTCACTGATGTCTCTTAGGGTTCACTGATGTCTCTTAGGGTTCACTGATGTCTCTTAGGGTTCACTGGTGTCTCTTAGGGTTCACTGATGTCTCTTAGGGTTCACTGGTGTCTCTTAGGGTTCACTGATGTCTCTTAGGGTTCACTGATGTCTCTTAGGGTTCACTGATGTCTCTTAGGGTTCACTGGTGTCTCTTAGGGTTCACTGATGTCTCTTAGGGTTCACTGTTGTCTCTTAGGATTCACTGATGTCTCTTAGGGTTCACTGTCTCTTAGGGTTCACTGATGTCTCTTAGGGTTCACTGATGTCTCTTAGGGTTCACTGATGTCTCTTAGGGTTCACTGATGTCTCTTAGGGTTCACTGATGTCTCTTAGGGTTCACTGATGTCTCTTAGGGTTCACTGATGTCTCTTAGGGTTCACTGATGTCTCTTAGGGTTCACTGGTGTCTCTTAGGTTCACTGATGTCTCTTAGGGTTCACTGATGTCTCTTAGGGTTCACTGATGTCTCTTAGGGTTCACTGGTGTCTCTTAGGTTCACTGATGTCTCTTAGGGTTCACTGGTGTCTCTTAGGTTCACTGATGTCTCTGCTAGGGTTCACTGGTGTCTCCAGGGCCGGCCCTGACCAATTTGCTGCCCTAGGCAAGATTTTACCTGGTGCCCCATGCATTACAGCCCATTTCACCCCATCATTGTGTTGGTGATTATTTAGTCATATATATATATATAGCAAGAGCATTACATCTAGCATTCAAGTCAAGTCCCCTTTATTTTTATATAGCGCTTTTTAGCCTACAATACAGATTATTTCAAGGCAGCTTTACAGTGATAACAGGAAAATAATGCAACAAAGTTTGCTTCTCCTGTACAGCAGATCTAGAAGAAAATCGTGTCATAATCCAGCTTAAGTATGTTCAGTGATGGTTTATTTTGTTGTATATATAGCTTGCTCTGGATAAAACAGTGATGTCATCGTCCAAATGTCATTCATGCACAAACTATTCATTGAGCACTAGCAAAAGTGTTTGTTTGGGAGTTGATGGCAGCAATCTTCCACTAAATCTGTTTTCATGCCTGATTATACATAAAATATTATATTTTCTGTCTGATTTTTTTTTTATCTGAAGCCAAATCAGATCACAGAAGGTAAAAAAAATATTTTTTATTTAAAAAAGTCATAATCCGTGTCTTATTCCAAATTAGGATGTTATGGTATCAATCTGAATGGGAAAACCATCGAATTGTACTCAATGGCCTTTGTGCCCTGTCATATGGCCTTGGTGCCCCTAAAAAAAAAAGAAAAGGTGGAGGCCAAATGGCCTTCCCCCTAAAATTACATAATTCCCACCCTGGTACGAACATGATCATCACTGTAAGATCTCAGTTATCATTAAAGGTTGTATCAGCGATTTCAGGCCCAAAAAATGCCCAAACATAAATGATCACATTCATCTGAAATCGCTGATTTTTGTGATAGTTCTCCCCTGTTTATTTTCGCAGCTCTTTACAATACAGCGA